TCTGAATTTCTGAATTTCTGAATTTCTGAATTTCTGAATTTCTGAACTTCTGAATTTCTGAATTTCTGAATTTCTGAACTTCTGAATTTCTGAATTTCTGAATTTCTGAATTTCTGAACTTCTGAATTTCTGAATTTTTGAATTTCTGAATTTCTGAATTTTTGAATTTCTGAATTTCTGAATTTCTGAACTTCTGAATTTCTGAATTTCTGAATTTCTGAATTTCTGAACTTCTGAATTTCTGAATCTCTGAATCTCTAGTTTCTGAATTTCTGAATTTCCGAATTTCTGAATTTCTGAATTTCTGAACTTCTGAATTTCTAGTTTCTGAATTTCTGAATTTCTGAATTTCTGAATCTCTGAATTTCTAGTTTCTGAATTTCTGAATTTCTGAATTTCTAGATTCTGAATTTCCGAATTTCCGAAATTCGGAAATTCGGGATTTTTAAAAATGTTTAGTTTTCGAAATTTCGAAATTTTCGAATTTTGGTACTTTACTTTTGAATTTCGACATTTTGTAATTTTGAAACTAATTTGCAGTCCAAGAGCCGCTCTACATGGTAATGGAGTTGGCATCCAACGGTTCGCTCGACGGATATCTCAAAAAGAATCCAGATCTTCGTCCCGAAGTCTACAACGAGATGATTCTTCAAGCTGCATGGGGGCTGGAGTACTGTCACGAGAAGAATATCATCCATCGAGATATGGCCGCTCGTAACTGTCTTTATGGAGATCGCCAGGTCAAAATTTCGGATTTCGGGTTGTCCCGTCCGGGACCCTCGTACCGAATGGATTCTTCTAGAAAAGTGCCGCTTCGCTGGTTGGCTGTGGAGACTCTTCTACAGTATGAATACTCGTTTAAGTCGGATGTCTGGTCGTTTGGAATTGTCGCTTGGGAGATTTATATGAAGGTTTGTTATGCGCCTTTAAAGTGGGCACATGTGGAGCAAGGAGAATGTCAGATTTAAAAACGCATAGCTCGAAAACTAAAGAGGCTAGAAAAAAGTGATTAACTGATAAAATAAAGATAATTAAATTTTACATATTTTCATATATAAAAAAGTTTTTCTAGCTTTTTTCGGTTTTTGAGATATGCGCCCTTTAAAGTTTGCACACCTAAAAATAGGGAAGATAGGGCGGCGCTTTGAAGGCGCATATCTCAAAAACAAAAATTCTTATGCAAAAATGTTGGAAATTTAATTTTACATATTTTCGTAGTTGACAAATTTTTTCTAGCTAATTTTGTTTTTGAGATATGCGCCTTCAAAGTTGGCACGCACCTTTCCTCTGATCTTCCCTATTCAAAAGCGCATATCTCAAAAACTAATAATCCTAGTAAAAAGTAGTCAATAGCAAAAATAAAGAAAATTGAATTTTACATAATTTCACAATTGACAAGTTCTGTCTAGCTTCTTTAGTTTTTGAGATGTATCGCTCTAAACAAGTGCGCTCTACTGAATTGTTCCAGGGGATCGAGCCGTATCCTGGAATGACTGTCGCGGAGGTGAATGATCAGGTGAAAAGAGGATACCGAATGGAGTTCCCGCCGAATACCAATCCAGAAGTCGCCAAGATGATTATGGTGAGAGCTAGAAGTTCCAGAAAATCTGAAAATCCAAATTTTCCAGGCCAAGTGTTGGGCCGAAGACCCAGTAAGTCGCTACACAATGACCGAAGCCGTTGGTTTTCTTCGCGACTTCTTCGGAATCAAACGTCATGTTCCGGCTCCTAATAAGACTCGAGTAATGGGATTGGATTACTGTATCTGCAATTTTCTTTATTCTTCAGGCGATTCTTCAATCCAGCCGCCGCAAGGGCCGTATGCCAGCCAAGACTCCGAAATCTCCTGGTTTCAAGGCCAAGAAATGAATGATTTTTATTGATTTTCTTGATTTAAAAAAAACAGAGTAATAAAGAGCAGTCCTCCTAGCCTCCTCCCTCTCAGCCGCTTTCCGCCCGGCTTCTTGTACAGCTTCCTCTCCCCTTTCGCTATCTCACAGGTAGAGGGGGACTGCCGAAAAACGGGCCGCCTGGCGGGCGCGGACTGCCGAAAGATTTGTTGCACCTTCTGCAATTCCATGTAGAACTATGTTTTTGGCTCTTTTTGCTTCCGCTGTTGGTAGATCTACCAGTAACATAGTGACAGGCCACAATTTCGATCTTTCTAATTCTGGATTTTATTTGAAAATTGGAGTACCTCCTGTTTCCATTCAGATTTACACCGTCAACGGAACCAAGGAGAGAAAGTTTCAGCCGGTTCCCATATTCCGACTTCCAAAGTCTTCCAATATAAGATCCTAATAGATTGTGTGTTTTTTCGGTGCCATCTCGTAAACGTTCTCGAATACTCAAAATACTTTCCAAGTGCTGCTTCACGATATCAATCAATTGAGAGAATCCTCCTGTGCGCACGTAACGAATCACTTCAGAACAACATACTTCATGAATGCTGAATGTTGTCAGATCATTTTTCCATAGCTTCCATGCTTGTTTGCGAAACCCCTCATCTTGAGAAGAGAGCATTCTACCAAATCCAGAATCTGACATTCTTTCGAGGCATGCGCCAGCTACAAAAACTAAAACCTCGTCAGAAACCGATTTCAGAGTGCTGGACAGATCTGAAAACTATCATATTTTTTCTTTTTAGATAATGGACTATGATAACTGAACCTGATTCATCATCGTCGTAGTCTATGTCATCTATGGTGTATGGATCTTCAAGAGTATCCTCAGATTCTCTAGTGATGTCTGGGCTCGATGTCTCTTCGCTTTCTTCATCTTGTGGCCCTGGGCCAAATTGAATAGGAGAAAACAACCGAAATGGTGTGCGCGGCATTACTTTCAGTTAAAACTAGAAAACAAAATATTATGAAAATAATAGACAAAAAAACGGTATGCCGGTTTGCCGGTTTGCAGCTGACAGGATTCCCAACCGGATGCCACGTCATTGGCCTCGATGCCCTACTCTTTCTCCATCTTAATTAGGACACCGACCTTTACAGATTTTTTTCATCCAGCTGCCCAGTCAGCTCCTCTTCGTCTGTCGTTTGGCCGTTTTTCACCAACCGCGCCTCAGATTCTAATTTTCGTAGAAATGCTTGTAATAACACATTTTTTTAGATTTCCAAATCCTTCTATGACTTTTATGATGTTTAAAGAGAAAGATTCTTTTTCACTCAAATTTTCCCTTCTACATAAATTTGACCCGCCAACCACCAGTCATTGACCAGTCAGCGCCTCTTCGACTGTCAATTAGCAGTCGTTCAACAACCTATTTTTAGAGGTGGTCTGATATGAGCAAAATTAGCTTCTGTCATTATCCTATAATTTAGTGGGAGTATGGAAAATTGTTTTCTGAACGATTTCCAATCAAAACCTGCAATTCAGTTTTTCAACGGGTTCCGACTGTCCGTCGACGGACCGTCGACGGCCCGTCAGTTTTCCTTCGACTGCCAACTAGCAGTCATTCGCCAGTTTGCTCCTCTTCAGCTGTCATTCAGCAGTTTTTCGGCAGTCCCCCTCTACCTGTGCTGCAACCGTGACGCAACGCCTGCGCTTTTGCCCACCAATCTCAAGGTCCGGGGTTCGACTCCACCCTTCGTCGATTTCTTTTTTTTCTTTTTAGTGGTCCCCAGCATAATCCACTTAAGCATTTTCCTAGACAAACATTGCACCTGCACAACTTATTACGAATAAATTATAAGAAAAGGGACCACCACCACCGAGCGTAATTCCTTAGTATATAGTGAAATTAGACACCTAGTGGCTACTACTACTACTCAAAAATTGATATACACATTTTGTACGAATGCTTAATTTTCCAATTTGATTTTCTGATAATTGTCTCTGCTGTACGAATAGATAAATCTCAGATTTCAGAGGGGGACTAAAAAGTGGGCGGAGCCTAAAATTAGGTGGCCAGAACATTCCGCTTCATTTGATGGCGACGCGAGTAGCCAATGTCCACTTTTTTGGCATATTTTTATATTTCCGCATTTTTCTACATATAGGACCGAGTTTAGTAGGATTCTAGATTTTTGGAAATTTGGAATTTCAAAAATTCGGAGTTTGAAAGTTTGGAAAATTTCAAATATTCTTAATTATCTCGGCTGCTATAGCAGATATCAAAAATATGTTAATTGATAAAATATAGGACATTTTATGATAAACATTTTATTGGTTGACAAGGTTTTGATATTTTTTAGAAGAGCCGAGATAAGTGAGCTCAAAGTGCATGTATAGGATGGCAGACTGTTAGAGCATCGCCTGTCCACTTTGAGCTCATGTATCTCGGCTCCTGTGAGAGATATTAAAATTTTGTAAACTGATAAAATATAGGAAATTTTAAGATAAAAAATTCATTAATTGACAAAATTTTGATATCTTTCATAATAATCGAGATAATTAAGCTCAAAGTGCAAATATAGGGTGCGGCCCTGGTAAGGAGTAGGGGTGATCAGGTTTGGCGGGAATTTCAATTAATATCAAAATCCACAAATTTCGAATTTCAGAGATTCTAGACTCAGAACTTTCAAGCCACTTATTTTTTTCTCAAAGAAAAATCAGAATTGGTCTCGGCCGCGGTCGACCGCACTGCCCCAAACTCTAGGCATTGACTCTTGGCATTGTGCCAAAAAAGGACGGGTTCTTTAGGGTCCCCCCGAAAATGTTTCTATGAATACAACTCTCTTTTAACTTCTTTCTTATGTCTCCTCCATTTTGACAGAAGGGACCGCCCGTCTTGGAAGAGAGAGAGAGAGAGTGTGAGAAGTGGAGAGACGCAGAGAAAAGGAATGAGGGAGAGAGCAACAAGCGGGTAGAGGGACCAATTATTCCGGGAAAGAGGAAGTTTCGTAACTTTTTACATTTTGTTTCTAAACGAATTCTAAGGCTTCTAGAAGTTTCCAGTTCAAGATTCTGAACTTTAAAATCGCTTAATTTTTCGATTTTTCATTAATTTTTTTTCAAAAAGTTCATTCTATCTGTGTAGATGTATGTCCAGATGTCCATAGTTTTGAAAAGAAGTTCCTGAAGAAAATGAGATTTTCTGGAAAGTATAATATAATTAGAAGGGTTTCCGGCGAAGAACAATTCGCACCTGCTCTTGGGACCCACCGCTTCATTTCCTTCCCTTTTTGGGGAAAATGAAAATGTAGGATTTCAATTTTCTTTCCCCCTTTGCTGCTCTCTCACAGCGGAGCAGCAAAAGGGAACACTTCTATTTTCTTTTCCTTCTCTTTCTCTCTCTCTCTATTTCTTTACTGTTTGTTTCGGAAAGTTTCAGATTCTGAATTTCTGAACTTCTGAATTTCTGAACTTCTGAATTTCTGAATTTCTGAATTTCTGAATTTCTGAATTTCTGAATTTCTGAATTTCTGAATTTCTGAATTTCTGAATTTCTGAATTTCTGAATTTCTGAATTTCTGAATTTCTGAATTTCTGAATTTCTGAATTTCTGAATTTCTGAATTTCTGAATTTCTGAATTTCTGAATTTCTGAATTTCTGAATTTCTGAATTTCTGAATTTCTGAATTTCTGAATTTCTGAATTTCTGAATTTCTGAATTTCTGTATTTCTGTATTTCTGTTATTTTTCTTTCAATTTATTCCAGAAAACTTTTCCAGATAAAATGTGGCTCCGCGGGATCTTCGGCGGAGTTTTCTTCATTTTTCTTCTCTGCTCCTGTACTGCTCTATTCGTCCTGCATAGCCTTTATTTCATTTTTCGAACTGCTTCTCAAACTGAAAAAACCGAAACTAAAACGTAAGTTTTTCTCTTTTCCAGCTCTTGAAAGGGCCCGCCGACTCCTGAAAGGCGCGCTCTTGTGTACGCCTTGCGGTGTCTCTCCGTTAACTGTCGGCATAGCCTATTGGCTTGCAGTTTCGGCCGGCGTTCAAGAGGTCAAGGGTTCGAATCCAACCCTCTCGAAATCCTTTTTGTTTCTTTTTCAAGTCCTAATACCGCATTTTTCAGCGTCCACGATGACCAGCTTTTCATCCCAGCGCTCATTATCTGCAATCGAATGCCATTCTCCCAAGATGGCCTCAACAATGTCAACGTCAACCTCCGCCAGGATTCTGCTCTCCGTTATCTTCTAGAATGGACGAATCCTTCGCTTCGAGAAGCCGCAGACTACACCCCACCAGCTGCCGACTTCATGAACCAAGGCCAGAATACAGTACTACAGTATATAACTCAATCGACGCGGAATCAAACCATCCAGAATATGCAATATCAGTGTCAATCCGTTATCAACTCGTGTAGCTATCAGGGAATTCAGTTGTCGAGCTTTGATTGTTGTCGAAATTTGCTTTCATTGATTCCAAGTGTAAATGGACTGTGTTGGGTTTGGAGAGATTCAACAATGTGGCAGAATTCCACAGGAATCAATCGCCAGTTTTCGATCACTTTCCAAGTTTGTTATCTTTCTTAGCACTCGCGCGATTTGCTTGAAAATGTTCACACTTATAGAACAAAAATCGAGCTACATTTTTGTAGTTGACAACTTTTTTGTGCAAACGCGCCCTAATGAGATATGACGCATAAAAGCGTCGTACCTCTATACAAAGGGGGAGGCGGCGGTGCTGCCGACTACTTCTACGGGCTATATCTCATTAGGGCGCGTTTTCACAAAAAAGTTGTAAATTACAAAATCAAAGCTCTGTTTTTGTTCTATAAGCTCAAAAATTTCCAAACTTGGACAAGTTCGAAGTCTTTTTTTAGGCAACTGAACTTAACACACTAAAACTGACAATTTCAAATTTTAACAAGAAGATTTCTATGCCAAACTACAAATAAAATTGACAAAAAGACTCCTAGATTAAACTAGATTTAAATATAAACCAAAAATCTTTTCAGATGACCCGAAACTCCTGGTTCTCCACATTCGTCCCCACGCATCCAGGTGTAGACGTCTACCTTCGCGAAGACGGAAGTGACGTCATGCGGATGGCCACAGAGCTGGAGAATCCGATTCGGTTGCAAGATAAACGAGGTGTCAGACTTCAGATGAGAAAAACTGTAAGTTAAAAAAAGAAAAAAGAATTAGGCGAGGTGTGGAGTCGAGCCCCGTAGCTTGAGATTGGTGGGCAAAACTGCAAGCCACTGAGCCATGACAGCCACTTGAGAAAGAGAGGTGGAATGTATAGACAACGGTGGGAAAATTGCTGTCGCCAAAAGAGGGGGGGGGGGGCACAGGAGCTAAACATTAAAAAAAAAGAAAAATTCCAGAAAAAAGCTGACATTCGTAGAACATCGTGTGGCTATGCCCTTGGAGACGCCCGAAGAAGTGATGTGCACGCATTCAAGAACAACCATACCAATTATCTAATGTGCAATATGATGGTGGCAATGAGATACTGTAATTGCCATCCGCTGATGGCTGAGCTATTGCATTATGACCCTTCCTCGTTTAGGTGAGAGATTATTGGGTCAGGAAAACTTGAAAGCTAAGAATTGTGAATAGAATTCAATAAAGAATTAGCTTCAAAGTTTTCAGCTGCAGTTTTTTTGGTTTTTTTGTGTCAAGTTCCTTAAAAAAGGGACTAGAAATTGTTCAATGTTTTCGAAAATTGTTGAGATTATAAAACAAAAATAGAGCTTCAATTTCGTAGTGGACAACTTTTTTTTTCAAAACTTGAGCCTGAAGAGATACGCCGCGTGGAAGTGACCAGACCCCTCCTGCGCGCCCATCTCTCGGGTACCCGTCGTTCCACGTGGCGTGTCTCTTCAGGCTCAAGTCTTACAAAAAAGTTGTCAACTACAAAAATGTAGCCCTAGTTTTTTTTTATAATGTGACAAAATTTGGGTTTGAACGAACTAGAACTAAGACCTCTCACAGTTATTCAAAGTTTCCTGATTTTAATTGTCAGAGTTAGAAACGCCACAGTTTCGATCTCTGTTATCTCAATTTGTGTAATAGGCATCAAAAAGTGGTCAACTAACAAAATATTTATCATAATATCAGCAAAACTTTTTAACTGACTTCTTTTTGATATCTCTTACAGTAACCGAGATAAATAGAGTGAAAGTTAGGGTCACCTTTATATAACAGGTTTTCGGGACTGTCGATGTTTGAGTGCCCTTTTATTGAGGGTCTTCGCTCTTCGATCTGTAAAGTTTACAGTGTAAACCGCTATTTTTATTCCAGAGACTTCCTGCTGCGTGTCAGCCAAACCAATGTTTGTAGTGTGGACGCTTATGACAACTGTGCCAGGAGATACATCGACCTAACCAGGGTTGAAAATTGGGATGAAGATATTCCAAAGGACCTTCCAGGCTACGAGGATGCCAAACGATGCAGGAATGATAATCAGAGAAGCTGCTTGATAACAAGTTATCCGGGAACAATTGAAGGTTATGATCTACCAGAGGAGTATAGAACGACTCAGGTAGGTTTAGAGGGATTCTTAGAATCTTAAGGCCCCGTTTCTAGGACTATGTCTCTCGCCTTGTCCTCGAGTACTCCACGATGCGCACCACGGAAATTCTAGTGTCCAAGGACCCGAACATTTATGAGCTACTCAGTTTCATTGGTTACAATATGGCACTCTGGTTTACAGTCGGACATATTCTATGGTAGGGGTACAGTAACCCGATATTTTCAAAATGTGAATTCAGGTCCATGTTCTGGTACGCGACTGGTTTGTGTTGTCCAAAACGAACTACAAATCGAATTATGCCGATTGTGAGCCGAAAACGAAGTGTTTCTTCCCCGGAACCAATTATTGTCGAGCATCGACCTAGTCAATCGGAAGAGGCTGGAAATGCGGGGGAGACTTAACTTTAAGTCTTCCGAAATCTTGTTCAAACTTTTTAGATTTTTTTGAAAACTTCAGAGTGTACCAAACAAAAATAGAGCTTTCATTTTGTAGTTGACAACTTTTTTGTAAAACTTGAAGCTAGGGAGATACGCTACGTGGAAGTACGCAGACCCCGCCTGCACGCCTATCTCTCGGGTAACGTGACGTATCTCTTCAGGCTCAAGTTTCACAAAAAAGTAGTCAACTACAAAAATGAAGCACTATTTTTGTTTAATATACTCTGCAATTTTCAGAAAAATTGGAACAAGTTGAACTAGATTTTCAGGGACTCAAAATCGATGTTTTAACTTGAAATTTGTATTTTTATGTCTTTCAAAAACAAAATTTCCATGACATTCGTTTTCACTTATTCTTGGCTCTTTTCACTTTCTCGAAATTCCCCATATTTCAAAAATTTTTCCATGACATTTTTAGCCGATTTGCAGAGCCGAATTCGCAGATAACACTTATAACCCCAATTTTCTAATCTCCGGTTCCCATATTTTGTCTTTCCCATGTTCCTTTTCTTCCAGTTTTTTCAATAAATTTGATTTTTTTTTTAAATTTTGTAATTCTGAAATTTTAAAATTTCAAAATTTCAGATTCTCTAAAATAATAGGGTATACTGTAAACAAGGAGCTAACAAACATAGATAATTCCATAAACCTGTTGCACCGCGAACTTTGACCAAAATTATCTCGGTTCCAGTAATAGATACCAGAAAGTGGTCAACTGATAAAATTTTGCTGATATTATGATAAATATTTTGTCAGTTGACCACTTTTTGATATCTCTCACTGAAAACGAGATAAATTGAGTTGAAGTTAGCAGTTAGGCAGCCATGACCTTGTAGTCTCGTAAATCGACACCAAGGCGACTTCCAAGGAGACAATAACGTTTTCGTGGTGTTTCAGTTGGGACGGTAATTACCATTTTGTTTGGCTACTGTAGCTTAATGCGATTTCACAGCTGGTAGCGGGTTGGCATCCCCCATGCCCTGAGCGCTCTGCCTTCCGAGCTGTCAACTTTGAGCTCAATTATTTCGATTCCTGTGAAAGATATCAAAAAATTATCAACTGATAAATTGTTGCTGATATTATGATAAATATTTTGTCAGTTGACCACTTTTTGATATCTTTCACTGGAAGTGAGATAAATCGACTCAACCACGTAGTGGCTTGGCTTCTCGACGTTTCTTTTGAAAGGAGGGATTCTGAAATACTGAAGCTAGATGTCCGTGTTCTCTGTTCTCTAAACAAAAACAAACAACGTGTTCTCTGTTCTCTAAACAAAAACAAACAAGTTTCCTATCCGCAGCGTCTTCTGATTTTTATTGACTTCTGGTCTTCAGCTGTTACACACATTCATGTCACCTTACATCAGCCGAAACCAGTTCTCGAATCTCTTTTTTTTTTGCAAGATTTCTCGCAGAAGTTTTTCTTTTGTGGGTGGTCTTAGGCACCACAAAACACACTTTTTCCTCTTGTTTTTTACCTAAAATCTATCTGAGTCCGCCTACTTGAATGTTCTGCAGGGGGGATTCACGTGAAAAGGTTAGAAATTCCGGAAATTTGAGATTTCCGGGATCAGTGGCTTCCAGCTGACATACGCTGTTGCACTGGGATACGATACCTAAATTCAGAAATTCAGAATCCCTCCTTCAAAAGGCGATAACAAAATTTTCATCACTTTTTGATCCCTAATCCCAAACCAAAGGAAAGCGATTAGCCTAATCCACAAATATCCTTCTCCCCTCGAGTTATCTATTTTTAGAATCTTCTCGAAGAAAAAAAAAGAAACGCACTTTGTTTTCTTCGTATTCTATAGAATTCGTTCTATAGACACGAGAATTATAAAAGCCTTAAAGGTGGGGGGACAGGAGATTTTACGGGGGATTTTCGGGCCAGAGTATGTATTCTACCGTGACGGTGTACAACGCTTAATGTCACTCTGCGTACAGCTGTCGTCCGCGCCTTTATGTATGCAATCGGGCGACCGCTTTTTTTCTTTCGTAGCTCAGTCGGTAGCGGCGCCACACCCTCAATCCTCGCCCCCACAAGTTCAACTCCACGAGGGGGGTATAAAAACGGAATTTCGAGAAATTTACTTTTTTCATGTCCCCCCACCTTTAAGGTACAGGGAAAATGTTGAATTTCTCTATTTTTTAGGGTTTTGTAACTTTGCAATTTTCCTTATAAACCCTAATATATCCTAAACAAGTCGGTTTACTGCGGTGAAACCATGGAACGTCTTCAGAAGACTTCAAAATCTAAATTTCGAAAAACTGAAAGTTCCGGCTTCAACTAAGACAAATTTCTGATCTATCTGTCCAGGTTTCAGCTCAATCGGTTAACTTTGAATGGGTGTAAAGGCGCGCTACATACATACGCACATGCAGAATCTGGCGAATGTTATTAGTATTGATATTGATATTCTAAAACTCCTAAAAAACTCTAAAAAATCTTGTGCTCATTCGCCTCCAGTTTTTGCTCTTTTATCACGAGGAACACATATTTTATTTTTGTTTCAGCTGTCTAGTTTGTCTTGTCTGAAATTAGGAACATGTTATTTTATATTATTTGTACCATAATGTGTTTTTGGTTGAAAAAATAGAAGAAAATCATCATATTTGCCTTCGGAAAATAGTCAACAGTGCAACAGTGCAAGCGTCTTCCCAAGTTTAGCCTTCTGAAAACCGCTTTGAACTTTTTTGATTAGTCTCATAATTTCAGAGTATACTGAACAAAAATAGAACTTCAATTTTGCAGTTGACAACTTTTTTGTAAAATTCGAACCTGAGGAGATATGCCACGTGGAACGGCGGGTACCCGAGAGATGGGCGTGCAGGAGGGGTCTGCGCACTTCCACGTGCGATATCTCTCTAGGCTCAAATTTTACAAAAAAGTTGTCCACTTCAAAAATGAAGCTCTATTTTTGTTTAGTATACTCTGAGATTTTCAGACTAATTGAAAAATTTTGGACCACTTTGGTAGAACTCAGAAGTTGACTATTTTCAAAATATAATGTGTAAACCAAAGATTCCACCGATTCCCAGGAAGGGGTTGTCTCCGAGGAACCGATTCCGAGGAAATCGGGGCGGAGTTTACTTTGCAACTGCCGCACAGTTCAACTGCGGCACTGCAAAAATTGATCTTCCTCGGAATCGGTGGAGTGTCAAGTTTTCAATTCTATGTCATCATAACTCATGGTTTTTGATAATGATGACGTTCTCCATTTGTCATTTATGCATTTTTCCTATTCTTATGAATTTTTTACCTCCTGTCATAAATCTTCCTTTTCTCTTCACATGACTAACATGCTCCTTTTCACTCATTGCTCATCATCACTGAGCCACACAGAAAACAACCAATTTTGAATTCGGAGACAAGATGTGAAGTTTAGTGAGTAGGATAGTAGGTATTGTAACGTTATTTGAGATATAACTAACTACTAGAAAAATCAGAGTGCGCCTCAAGATACCGTAACTCGCTCTAATAGAATTCCTAGATTTTTAGCTCAATTATCTCGATTCCCAAACAAGATATCAAAAATATGTCAACTAATAAAATATAGCTGATTATATGAAACAAATTTTATTAGTTGACAGATTTTAGATATCTCTTATAGGAACTGAGAGAACTGAGCTCAAAGTTCGCGGTGCAACTTCCGCCACCGTAGCTTAGCTGGTAGCAATGCGGCATCTCTAACTTCATGTCGCCCCAAACCCCTATCAATTTTGAGCCTATTTATCTCGCTTTCTATAAGAGATATCAAAAATTTGCTAACTGATAAAATATAGATAATATTATGACAAATTGTACTTGTTGACAAAATTTCGATATCTCTATTAAGAGCCGAGATAATTAAGCTCAAAGAAGCGGTATTCTATGCCAAGCGCCGGCGGTGACCTCGTAGCTCTAACTTGGAAAGGGGCGGGGCTGAGCTACAAAATTCATGGCTTATGCTTATATATATCTAGTTCAATGGTAAAGCCCCCAAGATCCTAGATCCCCCCAGGTCCCATAATCCATCTTGTTCCCAATAGTTTCCTCTCTCTGACAGCTGTTCTCTTTTATTTCCTTGCTTTCAACTTCTTGGTTCTCCAGATTGAAGGAATTTTTTCCCAGATGGGGTCAATGTCCAATGTACACAATACTTAACCCCAGGTGGGTGGATGGTCTTGATGACGTTGAGTGCAAGAAGACCTCCGTCATTGAGATAATTGATCTTGGCATTTGGCCAAGATAGCAGACAGCCTGTCCTGAGACTGACATGGTTTTGTTGTGATTAGGTGCAGAGTGTCTAGAGAAGATGGAATTTTCAAAAAAAAAACATTTCCAGACTTTCAAATCTAGTCTGGTCGATCTGACACAAGCTTGAGCTATTATTTCGCCTCGAGGTGCATTTGAGAGTCTTTCCAAGAATAGCCCTCTGAAAACCTTTTGAAAATTGTTCGATGAGCTTGAAAATTTCAGAGTATACTAATCATACATAAAGCTTTAATTTTTCAGTTGACAACTTTTTTGTAAATCTTGAATCTGAGGATATATGCTACGTGGAAGGCGCCCGAAGGGTGGGGCTGCGGAAGCTACAGGGCAGTGCGGGCACTCCCAGGCGGCGCATCTCCTCAGGTTCAAGTTTTACAAAAAAGTTGTCAACTACAAAATTGAAGCTCTATTTTTGGTTAGTATAATCTGAAATTCTCAGATTAATCGAAAAATTTTGAATTAGTTTTCTAAAGACTTGAAGTTAAGGCTTCTCTGGAGCTCCCCTTTTTCAGACGACGCCCCTCCTTTGAGTACCCTTCCACGTGCCAAATCTTTCCAAAATGGAATTTTCGAGAAAAGGTGTCAACTACAAAAATGGAGTTCTATTTTTGTTCTGTATATTCTGAAAGTTTCAAACAAATCGGTCAAGTTTAGAAATAGTTTTCAATGACTTGAAGATGTGCCTTCAATTTTTCAAAACAGCAAACTTTGAG